TATATATAGATACATATGCGTATACATAGGGATATGTATGTGCAGATATATATATCTGTACACATTGAAATATATGTTACACACTTAGATACTTACATGTATAAATACATATCTATACACACCTTGTATTCGTATGATGTTCAGGTTAGTTGAATAAAGTTCGCATGTTTGCTATACTGTCGCAAACGCACAGGCGTTAGATTATATGAATACGTAGTAGATTGATCTTTTCAAGTTAAGTTGGGTGACATATTTCTGATTCTGGATTCTATTACAACCACAGACGCGTGTGCATTTTTACCTTAGATTTCTTTCACTAGTAGCTCTAAAGAATTCCAAGTGTATTCATATATTTCGCATTTCTATCGCAATTTGTAGCTTTCATCTGCTGAGTTTGCTCTGAAGTTAATTTAGTCAGAGGTTCTGTATCTTGAAGAGGCAACTGATATTTAACCTTTTGCACGACAACGTATTGAGACAGTACGGTAGTGTTAAATGGAATACTGTAGCGACATGGGAGTAGCGATAGTGTAAGTAGATTCTTGCCTATCTGTAGAAGCAATTAGAGGGAGTACAGAAACTGTGACCTGCACTCCCTTAGGCTACGCGGCGCTATATGTGTGCCTATATTAAAATGTACCTGGTCAATCAGCATGTTAGCTAGCCATATGGAATCTGTACAATGTTTAGATGCTATAAACAGAGTGTTATCCGGATAAATGGGGCACGCAAAAACTCACTCGGTCGGTTTTCTGTTCAGTATTTGCCTGCGTTCGCGTTTATGTAGATATACGAAAACACACAAGCTATAGTATGTCTATTTTTTTTTAATATAGTTCAGAAATATGAACAAGTGATCGCATATTGAAGTATTACCCAGACGTGCACGAAGAAAGGTACTTATGCGGCTGATTGTGTAAACATGCACGTCCATTTGTGCCGAATTTCAGTTTGTCATATTGGCTCATATCTGTCTTCCCTTTCTTTCAACCCACAGGATGTACCTTTTGATGTGCTGCGGTCAGTTGAAAATGAGATGGAAGAGCTCGCCGCCATGATGAGACAGTGGAATGATGGAGGTTCGAACGACAATGCTCGGACATGTTCTCTAGAAGGGAGTGCGTGTGGTTATCCCTTCCAAGACCCATGTTGTGTTGGTCTGGCATGTTTGCGCCGGGGCTTCTATAGCGAGTGCATACCTGAGAGCAATCCCGGGAATCCAGAGGGTGCCGATACAATCATATTGGCTGCGCAAGCCGATCTCGAAGATTCGAGTGATGCCATCGCTGTTGTGAATGGAGTGCCAGGTCAAAATAATGAGGTAGTCTCGACAGGAAGGTTAAACTTTCACGCTAGGGCACAGAAGAGGCGAAGGAGAGAGCGGGATGCTGGGGTACACAGCGCACCCAACGTTAAGCGTGATATTCGGACCATTACCACGGAGGAAAGTCTTGAAAATAAGAAAGTACACGTGAGCCAACAGCGTGTCGTGATGAAGCAGGATTAATGCCAGGTGTTTCACATATCCTCATATAGTACTCGCGCATGTAGCAGCCCTATTGGCATATTGTACACCGCTGTGACGATGAACTGAGATTCTCGTATAAGGCTAGGAGAGCTGAGTGAGATGTGGCCATGGAAGGATTTAGTGGCTGGACTGAAGATTTTAGGAGCAAGATTTCGACGCTTGGCGGTGGATATCTATAATTTCATGCCGCTCGGAATTTTGCAGTGTGCAAATATATTGAACAAAGTTGTGCTAACGAGAACGAATGAACCATACTGATATATACTGGGAATTAAATTGAGTGGGAATATTACCTTTCTCTTAAACACTCGAATACAGATGATTTCACAATGAAGGGCCATGGAGAGATATATGTTCGGCTAGAAGCACAGTGAGCGCACTAGGGATTATTTAATCAAAACCTTCTTTTGTATTCTTTCGTAAATCGATATTGTATTGCAACCAAATTCTACCAATACAACCCGTTACATATTCAAGTAGATCGTATCATTAAATTTAACACGCGACCGCCATCTCTCGATTTGTCGTATCAAATATCAACCGGATAAGTCAAGTACTGCGCAATGTGTACGAGACTGTGAACAGGATGTTTGTATGGTGAATGTATTGCTACTGCTTGACTACCGTTGGTAGTATGTAGCTAACCACAATGGCACGGTGCAGACATACTGCAGAGGTAATCTATATTTTTTTACGTTTGACATTGTGTGAATACATGTACTGAGATATATGTATCTCATACGTTGTCCACTGTGTACGCGTAAGCAGATAGCATGACTTTGTCACGTCACAGCAGACTGTCCAAAACGCATTTCAGCGCCGTTGAAAGCTACGCGGAACATATCCGAGCCGAGCATCGAGACATAACGGATATACGCTTTCCTTCACTCGGCAAACACTAAAACCGTTCATCATCAACTACAAACCGTGTTGATCGATTCTGCAGCAGGTAAGCAGCTGTGCTCATTGTTACGTGCTGACCCTCAGCGATTAGAAATAGCAAACCTAAATTACCAAAGTGCGTCGACTTACAGAGGCACTTCGCTCTAGATTGTTTTCGTGGTCGGCCCGTTCCGCATAATTTCGATAACGTGTCCGATGATGTCTGTTTACTGCGCAAGATGATTGTGCGCACAGACCTCGACATGATTAAGAAACTCGCGTTGTGACGCTTATGGTTCATGGTGGTCGAGAGATCTCGTTGACGCTGAAACATGCCCCTCATACTTTAAACCTATGACATATGTCAGAGTGCCTAACAGGAAGGTTCTATGGATAAGCTCAGCGGAAGTGTCGCAGTTCTGCTCACCGCCCCCTCGGTTACTATCTCGGGCTAAGCTGCTACACTTTCGACATCCAGCGCGCAGAGATACCAGTTGTGATTGTCGAGTCTCGGGATGCCAATGATCATCCCTATCGTTCATAGAATACGCATCCGCTGTCCGCAATTGAATGTCGTCGGGTACTGGTCTAGAACGCGTGGTAGTATAATAAACTGCGCGTGACTCCGAAATCAATTTGACTGTGACTATTTCTAGATGGATGATCGAGTGGACTCCGCACAAGCTCTTCGGTACGTACCGTGGTCATCAATTAAAACTATCTTCTGTACTATACCCCAGCATATTTCCTACAAATCAACCATGCACTACAACACAGTCGTGTGTCATCCGAGGCGAGTTTAAATTACGCCGAATCGTTCACGCTGGGTGATCCTAGACTTGTGTAATTCGATTGTATACTCGAGACCAGCTTCCGTATTTAAATCAATAAGATGATGACTACCAACGCAGCTATGAGAGTCGCGCATAAGCCTACCAACACTGTGTCGTTTAGAGGAGAAAACAAAATGTCGATCATGAGCTCGATGTATGAAAGTATGACACTTACGTATCAAATTCTAGAGAGTTTTACCCCCTAGTGGTTTCGGAGACGGAAGATACGAGAATGACGGAAACCATTGATTGTAAAAAAGCGCGTGCAATGATTAGAAGATTGCGCTAAGTGGAATACATTGCTGAAAAGTTCGGTTCGAGCGTGCACGCCCAACTTGTGCATACTCCCGCTAAAAATTGACACAACAACAGACGCCCCCCATCAGCTGGATACACCCATCGGCCCGACAATTCAAAGTCGAAATTATTACACATACAACAGGATTGTCGTTCGTTGCTACTGTCAAAACCAGTCGCTGAATCTCCGAAATCCAAGTCCAGATCGTCCATCCCTCGACCAGCCAAGCGCATGGACTCATTCGTGTGTTCTAATTGGCTGTCGTACGCGTTAAGATCGTTTTGTTGTGCATCGATCTCGTCGTAAATCCTATCACCAAGTTGTCTATGTCTACTGAAAATCCCAGCTAGTTGGTCTAATTGCTCATTCTGGTCCGCTATAGCACTCTGCAGGGGTTCGACGACACAAATGCTTTATTGTACTTAGCGCATGCGTACCCTCAATCTCGGAAAAGGGACAATGGTTGAGAATAACGTGTGGCGCTTGAAGTAACTTGACCAGATCATGTGTCACGCACTAAATCTTGCGCGTGCTTCTCAAATTCTTGTGATGAGTACCATGTACAAAGCAAAAAAACAAATACATTATCTGCCGCGGACAGTTGACGTGAGCTTTCGGAATCTATCATAGTTCCAAGAATCTGGCATACCTCATGTTCAGGGTTCAAATTACCCCCACCATTCCCATTGCTGCGCGGATATTGGCTCAGTTTGTCGATAACATGCTGGTCATCTACCCGTGCATTCATTAGATCGCCATTCTCCAGCATCGAATCCTCGATATCCTTGGCATTACTGATGTCATTTTCCAACTTCCGCGCCCGTTTCCGCAGCCCTTCGACACCTGCAATAAGACCGTAAGGACTTTCAGACTTTCGATATACACCTCAATGAAGAAACTTATAAAAAAACCCCATAGTATGAGTCACCCACAAGTTTGCTCGCCCGACTGTTTCTGCTCATATACCCTACGGGGCACCGTGAAACAACTAGCTTGCACGTGACACCAGCGATATGAGTGTGACTGATTTCCTGTTTCCCTCGTTGTAGTCATAATCCAAATTGTTAGGCCACACATGAGCTCCTAAACACCCTCACGAGACGCGGAAAACCACCACCTAACATCTTGTGTTGTATATACACTCGTCGCTTCACTGGAAGGTGACACAAAGTATAGTTCAGATAGGAACTCAATCTATTGGAACAATGCACTTCCTGATTGCGTCCCGCATCCCGTAGAGGTGAGAGAGAAATTGCTGGCCACCTTGTGTCTACAATTTCTTCTTTAACTATATATTCCAGGAATGATGAGAAGCGGGGGCGGGGAAAGACCGTGTCAATTTTCACACGAAGCGGAGCCTCCATTTGCTAGCACTCGTACACATGGAGAGTCACTGTACGCAGCTGTTAAGACCAGCTTAAACCTATTTCAAAATCACGCATACAGTAGATCAATCAAGACCATCATAAATCAAGAAAATCAAACCAGACATATCTGAACATATGCTGTAGACGAAATATATATGACTGTGTGAGTGAATATATAGTCTTGTGTATATGTGTACGCGAGCTTTAGCATGTACCGTCCTCTCCATTTGAATCGAATCGACAGTCTATTTTCACTCATCGCACGTTGTATAGTAGTTCCCAACTGCCAGGCAAACTAAGGGTAACATCGAACCACTCCTATGAAAGCTGCTTTTTAACAACTTCAAGTTACATTTACATGCTATAAATCTCACTGGTGAAGTGATTGCAACTACTGATGATGACACATAAACTATTTTCAAATAAGTCATACATTTGAAACGTGTAACATCATATAACTGATTATGACACCACCGTATATATAAGTTGGCGTATATGTGTATGTATCAAAACCTTGTTGTATTTGTGGATCAGCCGATGTAATATCTAGACTTGAAAGAATCGCGTTGAGCTTATCCATCCGTTTTTTCATTGAGCTGTAGTGTACCAAGCCACTGATCCCTTGTTCGTAACACCTGGTGAACCAAATAAAGGCAACGTTTCGATAATAAACACATAGATACCAACAATAGACTCACAGACTAGGATGAAGACTTAAACAGCACACACGCATTTCAATTGCTCCACACATACACACACCCACATTAAAACACAATAACACACATACAAGTATACAAAAACCCACAAACACATTTATATATACACACACACACACACACGCACACACACACACACACACACACACGTATATATATTATAAATATACAAATACATATATATTTACATAAACATACACACACACACACATATATATATACGTGTACATATATGACAAAATAGACATATACG